ATCCATCCATCTATCCATCCATCCATCCATCCATCCCTCTATCCCTGTATCCATCCATCTATCCATCCATCCATCCATCCATCCATCCATCCATCCATCCATCCATCCATCCATCCATCCATCCATCCATCCATCCATCCATCCATCCATCCATCCATCCATCCATCCATCCATCCATCCATCCATCATCCATCCATCCATCCATCCATCCATCCATCCAACCATCCATCTTGCAGCTCAGCCAAAAAATCACAATTAGTGATTTCTCAGATTCAGATGTGTCAGTATTACTGAAACATCATCAGACTCTGATTTAATTTCTAGTGTACAGTTTTGATCAGGCAGCAGCAAAAATACACTTTACTATAGTAACTTATGTCTCACTAAGACCTGAAAAAAAAACAAAAAAAAAACAAATTTGAAGTTTTGTTTTAGATCAAGAGAATAGTTATATATAGTATATAGTATATAATAGTAGAATAGTATATATAGTTATAGCTATTTCTTATTGGAACATGCTGCCTTCTATAATTACATTAATTGCAGATCATGTTAATTTTACAAAGAATCTTTAAAAAAATCTATAATAGATAATGAAATAAAACTGAATTGATGAACTGATAAATTTACAATGGAAATGAAGATTGTTAACGTAGGAACTGGTGAATTTTTGTGTTTTTAATTCTTGTGTGTTTTAAAGTACAATATTTTGTCATTTTGTAATGCTTGTAAAATGTTGTTATTGAGATGGTTGTTTTGAATTTTTATATTGTGAATTTGTTTTTATCTTAGGTATTTTATTATGTCTTTTGTATGTTTGTAAAAGCTTGATTTAATTGCAATGTTTTAAGTGTGTACCCCGTGAAGAATAGTCTCTACTATGGTAGAAACTAATGGGGATCCTTAAATAAACAAATAAACAAATAAAAAGTTAGTTACATTGTGGAAACAAGGAGCGAACATCTTTCTGTCCTCTTTGGTGAAGGTCATGGGGTCAGGGACTAAATATGGGATGATTTTTCAGAGACTCAGGAGGAAACGGTCATACTGGAACAATAATTTGACCTCAGATGCATGAAGATGTGATGTTGGTTTGTTCAAGAAGAAAGACGTTAATATGATCTTGGTGTTTTATTATTGCTTTGTTAAATAAATCATACATACCTGTTCCTTTAATAGTAAATTTCCATAGAGGTAACAAATAGATATTCTGCATCATTTTGTTTTTCAAGCTGCTTATAATAAATCGTCAGTGCATTTGTGACTATTTCCCTAAAAGTATTGTACCACAACAAGCTCATAGCGGTTCGCTGACATCTGTGGCTGTTTAAAAATGTAAAAGTATTAAAGACTTTCATTTTTCTTTCTGCTATAAATAAAATAAATAAGCAGAAGTCACCACTGGAGGCAGGTGGGATGACTTCACCTGGCGGCTGAAGCTGAACTTCACTGCCTGAGCTTTAAAATCCTCCTCTCTGAGTGAAGTGTTGATGCTGGATCTGCGAGGAATCTAAACTTTATGTAAAACACTGAAATCACTTTGACAGAAAAATGTTTCATTTGTTGGTGAACATCAGTCTGACTAAAGAGACGACGTGATGTGAAGTGTATCTGATCTGACTTTTATTCCATTCTAACACAGTCAGTGATGATGGTTCAACTTTTAAATATAATTTGTCTTTTATTTTGTTGTAGTTGTTCACATCAGTCTATAGGCGGCAGCTCTGTTTTTAAACTCCTTCTTCATCATTCACTGATGAAGCTGAGGCTGAAGAGTCACAGAGTCGTCGGTGTCAGCAGACTCACACTCAGAGTAATTACCATCCTTGTTCTCTCTAATTGAAGGTTTCTGTTAACGAGAGCCTCCTGGTGGGGGTCTGTCTGTGTAAACACACACACACACACAAGCACGCACGCACGCACGCACACACACTGACTTGGGCACAAGATTCAGATGTTTTTTGTGTGTAACATGAGAGGCAGTCGGTTCTCAGGTGTACAACTTGACTCTCTCAAGACAATTCTCTGCAAGTTTGTGTGTGTGTGTGTGTGTGTGCATGTGTTTAGGTTTGGTTAATTGGTCATATGCAAAATCAACACAACGTCAACAGCGCAATGAAATGCTTAGGATGAGAAGAATCGTCTCAACTTGCCAAAAAAACAACAAACAAAAAAACAACAAGAAGAAATACCAAAGCATGTAGCAAAAATACTAGAAACATACTAAAAATACTACTAAAATACTAAAATCATACTAAAAATGTTTCTAAAATACTAAAAACATACTAAAAATACTACTAGAGTAGTTAAAACATACTAAAATACTACTAAAATACTAAAAACATACTACAAATACTATGAAAATACTAAAAACATACAAAAATACTACTAAAATACAAAAAACAAAAAATACTATTAAAATACTAAAAACAAACTAAAAATACTACTAAAATGCTAAAAACAAACAAAAAATACTACTAAAATACTAAAAACATACTAAAAATACTACTAAAATACTAGAAACATACTAAAAATATTATTAAAATACTAAAAACATACTAAAATACTACTAAAATACTAAAAACATTCTAAAAATACTATTAAAATACTAAAAACGTACTAAAACTACTATTAAAATACTAAAAATGTACAAAAAAATACTACTAAAATACTAAAAAGAAGGCGCCAAAGTTGGAAAAGAAATACATCTACAGTGTGGTTTGGTTCAGTGTATGTCTGTGTGTGTGTGTGTCTGTGTGTGTGTGTGTGTGTGTGTGTATGTGTGTGTGGATGTGTGTGCGCGTGTGAACGAGGGAAACAGAAAGAAACAAAATATTTTATCAACAGAAATATTTTGTGCTGATCTGGTGTCGCCTGCACATCATCTGGTTTTCCAGTAATGACAAGCTGAGAGTGTATGAAGCCAGTGTAGGAAGGCATGATCATGATCAAATGTTTTTGTGTACGACGAAGCATCCCGCTCGCTACGTTACGCAACCGCATGCACGCAGAGCCACGTCACACTCCAACCCTCCCCTTAGTTTGTTCATATCTTATTAGTAAAGTTCATTATAATGTCTGTATTCTTCACCAGCTTAGAGCAACCAGGGGTGCACAGCTGGGGGTTCAGTTCAGGAAACCGTGCATTAAAAACATCACTTGTACCTGGTGCCGTTGCACTGGGAGGGAGGGATGACAGCTGCTTCCCTCGTTGCACGGGAAAAGCTGGTGAGACGATTGATTTTCACTAAAAAGATGTTTCTGTGATCATGTGACTTTAAATGATTGTGTGCATTATTACTGTTGTATTAATTATGATTTGTGAGTGAGAATGAAGTGAGCTGTTAAAACTGTATTTGTTTAAGTTGTGTTTAAATAAGTGTCCTTGACCTGGAAGAAATGCCATGTCTGGTGAGAGAGGCCGTGATCATGAGTCGCTGCACGACACGAGGAGGCAGAGAGAGAAGGTGGTTACAGAGAAGGTATCCAGGGCTGGGTTTTATTGTGTCAAGCTTGCAAAGAAGCACCCTTTTGGAAGAGACTATTAATACTGGGATGATCTGAAGACTTGACTAGCCAGTGGGTTTGTTTGGATAATTTTTGTTCAAATTCAAGAAAACGTTTGCGTGGAAAAGAACCCTGTGACACGTCACCCCTTTTTTTGTTGTTGCTTTCTGAAGGAGAGAGTTTTAGGACCTGTAGTCAGGAAGAGGAGCTGCAAGGTTAAAAAGGCTGCTCATTTATGGACACGCTCAGCTGAGAGTGGTCTGCATGCTCACCTCTATGACAGCCAAGAACAAGCATGTAAATACAGAATAGAGAGGACTCATCCCTGAGGTACGCCACATAATTATTATACATTTATCATCTGAGAGGAGTTCTCAGACTGCTGGACAGAGCTGGACAAACTGGACGAGATTTAATCCAAACAAGTCTCAAGAAACCGTTGAAGTATATTATACTACCAGTATGTTGTATTGTACTTTGATAAATTGTATCATACTGTCTTGTAATGTACTTTACTGTCATTTGTATTACGTTTTATGTTATGTAAAATAATATAGTATCATACCATATTGTATTGTACTTTTGTTGTTGTTGTATTATATATAGTGTTGTAGTTTTTGATGCTTTTTAATATAACATTGTATTTTGTCATATTGTTAAGTATTTTGTTGGATTTTATTGTATTGTTTCAGATAATATATTGTGTTGTATTGTACTTTATTGTAATGTAATCTATGAAAATATGTTAAGTAGTATAGTATTGTAATGTATTATACTTAAATAAATTTTTGACATTGTATTTTATTAGATTTTAGGGCTTTGTTTTGGATCACACTGCACTGTGTTGTGAAATTATTATTATATTATTATATAGTTTGTAATATAAATATTAACAATAATATAGATCATTATAGTTGTTGTATTTATTGTATCATCTAGTATTGTATTTTGTGGTGTTATTACATATTGTATTGTGCTTTGTTTTGTATTTTGTGACAATATATCATACAATAAATCAATTCAATGAGTAACAGCAAAAAACCAAAAACAAAATATATAAAATACAGCAGAAATCTGCAACAAAAGTCAGAAATTCTCAAGAAATGACACCAAAGTACCAAAACTTCCAACTAACAGTATTTGGTACTGTTTTAAACACTCATTAATTTTTTATAATTTCTCAAATACTCACAAGTATAGTAGATTGTTGGTGCAGAAAATCACAGTTTGATGTACTTATAGCTGTTTTAAAGCCCTCTGAATGTTTTTAATGACGTGACGTGAAGCTTGTTTGGTAAAATACAATTCTAAGGACATGATGAGTTTGTGCTGGCCATCTGTTTTACTTTATTTCATCATGTGAGAGCTCTTTGGGAGGACTCACTGTGCCTGACGTGTCTGTTCAACTTAAGCTTTAGGCAATAATTCACTCGGAGTCAGTCTGATCTGATCTTCTGTTCTCGTCTTTTCTCTCCAGACTTTCCTGACTTATCTCTCCCACTCACTCTGCAGCTTCTGTTTTTGGACCACTTGCATCAGCACTGACATCACATCTTCCTTTATTTTTACATCCATTTCCTGTTGCCAGCCTCCGCACCGCTCATCTTCGGAGGTCCCTGACGTGACCAGGTGGATGTGACTCTCTCTGTCCAGGTCAGCAGGAGAAAACGAGCAAAGCTTTAACTTCAGTTTGATCTCCTGAGGTTTTGTTTTTCACATCCAAACTGGACACTTTCTCACACCGTGGCGGTCTGACCTTGGGGGGGGTGACAGATGCCTGTCGGAAGTCATCGTGTCGTGTGTCGCTTCGGACTGCCTGACTGATGGGATGTGATGTGATACTGAGCTTATAGAGTGACATCAGAGACGAGGCGCTCATTAGATCTTCAGCACTCTGTGGTCGTATCTGTTACGGATTACACTTGTGTAATGCTCCTTAAAGTATCAGAGCTTAAACCTTCTCAGACTCAACAAATATGGTTTTTGTCCTCTGAAGATACCAGCTTTCCCACAAAGGGTTTAGGGGGACAAAAAGGAAGTGGTCGATGAAGGAGCTGTGGCTTTAAGCTCTGCTCTGAGGTCACAGAGGTCAGGAGTGAGAAGGACATTCAGAGGGTTGGGTTTGTAATTCAGACTGAAGGTGCAAGGTTTCCATCGAGTTATCTGCGAGACATTCAATCAGCCCGAGAAATTGATGCAGGAGAAACGCCATGAAACAATCATGCAATCAGCACACTGTGTTTTGCGTGGTGATACACACTGATGACCCGCCCTACCTGTCCGAACACAGAGTGGACTATAGGCAGCAGATCCACAGGCTCTTCCTCCATTTCTGCCTCCATGTTCCTCCTCTGCCGTCCCTCCATCATCTCCTCCAGCTTCTCCTCCAGCGCCTCGCTGTCCTCCGCCTCCTCCGTCGTCACGGGCCGGGACGGCAGCCGGGATTTCTGGCGGTGCTGAGGCAGAGGGGCCGCACTTTGACCATCTGCAGCAACCCCTCCCTGCTCGATGCCTTTCTTCTTCTTCTTCTCCATCTTCTTCTTGATGGCAGCCTGAACCTGCACACACACACACACACACACTTGGATGTATTTTCTGTAAAAGTGGAGGGTGCTCTTGTAGAAGCTATTTTTTTTAAAATATTTTTCTTCAGGATTCTGACATTTTACAATGAATCAACCCAACATAAAGCAGGCAGATTATAAAATATACTTTTAAACACATGAACAGTTCATACAAGCAACAAAAACAGCATTTTATGGCAGAACTTTATCTCCTTAAATGAAAGATTTTACAAATCTCAGGTTCACACTTTTATCCTTTCGTGTCACACATGGTTTAAGATCATTTTTATTTCATTTTGGAGCTAATTTCTTACATTTAATGTCCGGCGGAACTACTAACAGCATGCCAAAAACACAGTAAATGCAAATAAAGTGTAAGAAAAGCCTCAGATAGGAGCAAGTAAACACTACAAACATGCTTCCATAGAAACAAAGAGTCTAAATGTGCTGTCCCCCCACACACACGCACCTGTTTTGGTGTCCTCTCCGGCGGCGCGCTCATGGCTGCGGCACCGCCTCCTCCGGCGGACGGCTCTCGAATGAGCATGAACATGTTGCTGTGACAGGCTCAGCCTCACAAGCACACACTCTCTCTTCCTCCCCCTCCCTCGCCGTCTCCTCTTCGCTTCGCCTCTGTCTTCTGCGGCAGCTCTGCTCGATTTTCCTTCGATGTGGTGAAAAGTAAAAACTAAACAAAAATTCTCCTGAACTGTGGATGGAAGAGGTCAAAGGTCAGCCGCCTTTTTCTTGTCTGATCAAACTAAAGAAAGGGAGGGGATGGATGATAGAAGAAATGGATGCTCTATTTTTTCTTCTTTCTGTCCTTTCCCCCCCTCTTCGGTGGTATCCCTCAGTTTCCTGGAGCTTCTGCTCATGTGTGTGTTTCCTGTGCTCAGGTGAGCAGCTTTTTATTATCATCAGTTGTCTTGGCTCTGGGATAGAGTTCCTGCTCCTCTGCCCTCTCTGCCTATCTCCTGCTCCTTCAGGTGACACTCTACACCTCCTGAACTTCACCTCCCTCTCGTTATCTACCTCTAACATGTCAACCTCAGTCTCTCGTTCCCTTCCTCACTTTTTTCCACCTTTTCCCTTCATCACAGGTAAAGTGAGCACTTCTGTTGCTCTTCTGCTTTCTTCCTCGAGCCAACTTGCAGCCGTCATGTTACGTATATATTTTTTAAAAACTCGATTGCATCTTTTATGCCCACAGCCATGAAGGTGAGCAATGATGATTTTGACTGTGTCTGTGTACGTATTTGTGCCTGTCTGTAAGTAAAACATCTCATGAATCACTGAATGTGTTTTATTGGACCCTTTGGAGAATAATAACCGGATGTGTGTCTTTAACTGATTACAGTAGGTTTTCAAGCCAGCCCAATTCAAGATGGCTGCCACAGCTAACTGAACTTGGAAAATACAAAAAAATGTCTATCATTCAGTTGTTATTTTCAGATTTTAAGCTGAAATTCGATGTGACATTAGCTGAAAGGCATCCCCAACAAATACTCTGAATGCTGCTCATGTGACATCTTTGCTTTCAATTTTGGTATCAGCTGTTGAAGTCAACCCTGTTTGTCTGTCAAGATTCTTTATTGTCATTCTCGTCACATATGATACATAAGGTGGAATGAAATTGTGTACACAGGGTCCCAGTTACATCCAACAAAAGTATAAATTGTAAAGAAAAACAGTAATAGATCTAAGATATGAACTAAGAAATATGCTAAACTAAGAATAATCTAAGCACAGATAGTACAAAACAATGTGCCGAACAACAGCAGCACGAACATGAGTCTGTGTGAGCAGATGAGTATGAATTGAACACAGCAGCTTGAAATAAATCAGCAGCATGAGATCAGCAGCATGGATAGTCAGCAGCACATATCAACAATCAAAATGGCATTACAGTGATTTTTTTTCACAGTGATGATCCTGGTTAGATGTTCATGAGTCTTAATAGCTTCAGGGTAGAAGCTGTTCCTCAGCCTGGTGGTTCTACACTTAATGCTCCGCAATCTCCTGCCTGAAGGGAGCGGGGCAAAAAGTGTGTGTGCTAGGTGAGTGGGGTCCTTCATGATGCAGGTGGCCCTCTTCCTGCCTCTGGAGGTGTAGATGTCTGTGATGGTGGGGAGGCTGATTCCGACAGACTTATGTGCAGCCTTCATCACTCTCTGCAAAGCTTTTCTTTCTGCAGCTGTGCAGCCTCCATGCCACATGTTGATGCTGGAGCACAGGATGCTCTCCAGTGCACACCTGTAGAAGGAGGTGAGGACTGAGCTTCCCAGACCAGCTCGTCTCTGCCGCCTGAGGAAGTAGAGTCTCTGATGAGCTTTCTTGATCAGGCTGGTGGTGTTGTTGCGCCAGCTGAGGTTGTCATTCTGGTGCACACTCAAGCAAAAAACCTCTCGAACCACTGGACAGGATTTGGTATAATTTTCAGAAGGTATACCAAGAAGGCAGCCATACATAGCTAATCAACGTCAGCCAACACAAAAACAGCTCTAACTCTGTCAGTTTTACAGATATTGAGCTAAAACGGACCTTTCAGTGTCATGACCTTATTTGCAACGTTTGACCAAAACAGCTGTGACTTCATCACTTTTCAACATGAGACGAGCCTTAAGTTCTGGTATGACAGGCGGCAGGCAGTATGCATTCCTTCAAGGAATGCTGGACCGTTAACTGTATTTGTTTTACAGCGGTTTCTCTCCTCTCGCCTTTTTTTGTCATCTTTTTGGTCAACATCAGTTCCCTCTGACAGTAATCCATGCCACTCTCCTTCTCTCAATCTTTACATCCTCAATCCCTTGAAGCCTTTGTTGTAACACAAATTGGATTTTTTTTGCTGTGGCCAAAGATGTTCATTGTGTACGAGGCGGGGCAGGAGGGATGGAGGGACACAACAACCTCAGCTGGGACACAGTGATGAAAGGCTTTTTGCTTGACTGGAAACACATCACCTCTGTGTTGTCCCGCGTGCATAATCTCATCCAGCGAGCATGGCTGTGCTCACACGCACAAAACAACACAGGTGGACATGTCATCGCCGACCTCTATTTTTAGACCTGCGTTCACACGAGCGTGCAAATACATTTCTGCGCTTTGGTTTTCTGGGTGAGCTGTTTTTAGCTCGTTTGTATAAAACAACTAATCCCACTAAAAGCATCAGGTTTCTAATAATAAAACCTATTAATTTGTCTGCAGTGTTTTTTTGTCCCCATTCCTCCCTTTAACTCTCTCCCATCACTCAGCATCATCTCCTGTTAACCTGCATTAAATATTTCTGTTTCGAACCGAAGCCCAGAACGTACTGATAATGTATAGCTCTGACTTCTCTCCAGTTCCTAATGAGGTTTCCATAGATCACCGACTCCATCTTTCAGCCGCCGTCCTGTCCTTCCTTTCTCAGCCCCTTTTGCTCGTGGATTATTGATGAGAGGTCAGTGACAAATTCTCGACTAGAAGCAGAAAAGAGATTTGTTACAGAAATGACAGAAGGCTTGAAATAGTAGTAATTAAGGAACAGATGTGTCATCTCGATAAATTGATTAACTTATTGAGGGAAAGGATAAGTTTCAGTGTTACACTTATTTAGAGGAAATTTCAAAAATCTTTTTTTTAATCTCTGTCACATCAAGACAAGATGAACGAGTTGATCAGTAACAAATAGGTGAAGGCTTGTTTCTTCACATTAATCAGCCTTTTCTAGCATCTAATCATCTATCAGCAGTGTATCATTAATGTATAGGCAGATGACCCAGAGTAATTAAGAAGCAGACAAGTTTTATTTGCGTCAGACTGATTCTCATTACTTATTTGGTTGTAACTGTAGTCACACATTACTGAATTTCTCATCTGGCCTCATTAACCCAGCTTAAGTAGACAATGACTGTGTATCTGTGACAAGTAAACACCAAACAGTCACAAATAATCAAATAGTTATCTTAAGCAAAAATATATTCACAGGCTAAAACCCAGTGCTAAACATCCCACAGTGTTTTTTGTTTGTTTGTATAAGTTCTGCTTAAAATCTGATGTGTATTCAACTGTACGTGACATGCTCAGTTATACTGCAAGAGTCTGCCAAAGACAGAAATCAACTAAAGTTTGTGGGGCCTCCACAACAGCAGGGGGCACCCAAGAGCCCTCTTTTGCTTGGCTAGCTTGACCGTGACAAACTGTGTTGAGTAAAACAACTTGTTTAGCTTGATTAGACTTCATGTTACAGAAGTAGACTTTTTTCTCCACTAAAGTGTTTTTATTTTAATTTTTTTTTAACATGTTCACCAAAAATGTAAAAATAAGGACAAATTGTGGAAAATGGTCTCAACAGCAGTCAAATGTTAGGCTTCAAAACTTTCTGGTTTATGAAAGACGTGTTACGACCGAGTATTAGGGGCATGCTAAGAAAAAAAAAAATTACATTATGAGAAAAAAGGCATACAATTACAAGAATAAAGTCATAATATTACGAGAATAAAGTTGTAATACGTTCCTGTGTCGGCTCACACCTGCTGTATACACATACACACATACATATACATATAT